GGGCCAAATAGCAGCCTGTGCTATCAACCAATGATCTCTTTCCTCTTGGTACACTCTAATTACAATGGAAGCGGAAAACCCCTTTGGTTGTTTGCCTCTTTCTAGAAAATCCATTCGGAAAAGGTCGTGTTTGTTCTCAACCATGTTCCATTGACCGACGTCAAGCAGACATCAGAAGGACTATCACGTTTCATCATGCCAAGATGTCTCCGTTCACCGCAGCACGGCATCTCATGCCAAGGATGCCCATGGCCACGAAGTTTCGGCAGCAATACAACGACTTTGGAGATTTGTCCAAGCGTCGCCGATTTGTCATGCAACATATGATGACGATGTTTGATTTTTTGTGTTTGTGCTGAAGAGTTCAGTCTCGAAAAGTATGGAACGCTCGCTCGTTTGAAACGGTCGAGACATTTGGAAAAAGTGAAATACTCTCCTTTGACCTTGCCCAGTTCAATGAAACATGTGTTTGCAATTTGATTGCATTATTTAACAATTATTTAACCATTGTTTTATATTGACAATATAACTATACTTCAGCTTTGACAGTATAGACTCAGTGTGTAAGTGTGTATCATGCATGATGTGTATATGTATATAGATAGAGAGTTATAATCATATGAGTTATATATGTATATACAACTACTTAAAATTGATGTGCTTCAGGTAAAGCCTCAGCTTGCCAGCCCAAGTGCTTGAAAACCAACTGCACATACAATACTGCATATTTGCAATCTTGATTTCTCCAAGGTTAACCTCGCGATGAGTGGCCTTGGTTTGATGAGCTTCGTTTCCCACGAAGGAACCCCAAAGTCAGTACAAACTCTGAACTCTGTAGCCAAACTTTTCGCAATATGCTTCATGTTTATTTTCTTTTTGGAGGGAGGGATTCCTGCCAGGGACACTGCTACATGACTACATGATGAAGTAACACGAACTTGAAATGAGGAACATCCACCAAGCACATAGTGCTTCATGTGCTTCATTGATGAAAGCTCATCTCATGGCTCATCATGGCTTTTAGCTTCGGCAACTTCAGGCTTCAGGAACAGCAGCCGGGCCTATTCAGCGCGGCATCTTGTGAGGGAGAGGAGAGGAACAAAATAGGTGCGACAGCAGCAAGCAGCAATGCTCGTGGAAGTTTCGGGCTTGAAGCAGCTTGAGGTAGTATAACAGCTGTTGATGCTTCAACCGGAAGAAGCCTCGTGCAACAGTTCCTTTAAAAGAAGTAGATCCCCATCCTCGGTGGACTCACTGGGACCTTCCACCGACCGCCGAGGTTTGGCTGCACGCGTGGATGGGAGTGCAGACATCTGCTACTGCGAAGCCAAACATGTCCAGTGGCGACCTGAAGAACCAACGCCCGAGCGTTGATCCAACCCCAGGTTGAGCAAGGCACCATTTTTGAGAGCATCTATAGAGACTATATAGAGTATAATCATGCTTTCATGCTTTACAACAGTAATTATATAATGACAGGTAAGACAGGTATTACTTCTAGATCGCAGGAGTTGTTTTGTTTCTTTCAGTGACGTCTGAAGAGTTTGTTGTTCACACGATTTGCACCATAGAACGTATCAGCACCTATCCTCCACATACTATACCCAAATATACCCAAACGCTCCATGTATGGCATATTGCACCCCGGCGCGTGAAAAACGTGTTGGGTGCCCTCTCAGGTCCTTCTATGCCAGCATCGCCCGAAGTGAGCAAGATTCCCGGGACTTCGACAGCTACTCAGGCGGGAGATGTGGGGAGGTGTGTCCGAACCGACGTCAGACCGGTGGAGCTTTTGGGAGAGAACCGTTGCAAGAACGGTTGCTCAGTGGAGGGCCGACAGGTGGGGAGACCCATCGTATCGTGCCGTGGAAACCTGGGTGTTCGACTACAGCTTGTTGAAAACGAGCCATCATCTCACCTTCAATCTTTATGCTGAACTCGCTTGGAGGGCAAGAGAGAGAGAGAGAGACCTACATGACAGAACGGACCAGAGAAGAGAGATGCACAGCCAGTGAGGTTGTTGTTGCTTCGGTGATGCCCAGATTTGCATCACGTAGGCTGTGGGCCTAGAGGGCCTAGAGGGTCGAAACTCCGATTCATTTATTCCTTTGAGATATGTAGGCACCAAAGCTATAATATGCTAAAATCATCCTGGTTGTTTAAAATCATATAGTATAAAATCTATAACGTCGTTGAGTTGTACTTTTATATGACCCCAGCACAGTAAGTTATTTACAAACGGCTATAGCCAATTGTACATTATAATTGAAAAAATGTATGTATGCAAACATGCATATGATATGCATACATGCATATAACTATCCCTTCACCCTCCTTTGCAAAAACGTCCGGCGCTGGATCCTCCACAGCAGACGCAGGCCGCGTGTTGATCCTCGACGAGGTCGACGCCTTGGTCATCGATGAAGAGCCCAACGAGCCGACGCTCGGAAGAAAGCGGCGCTGGTGACGGAACCGGGGATCGATTCGGTCTCCACCACGCGCATCAACGGGGTATTCGCGGAAGTACTTACTAAGTACGCAGGGGGCTGAAACATCAACTGAGCGGCTCGAATTGTGTCAACTCTGGAACTCTTCGATTGTTTGCGGCTCCAATTGTTCATGTTCTCTTTGGTGGGCTTACGATATAGGCAGATGCAATAGTTTTTGAGAGCCGCTCCACTGACGTACGTTGATCCCTAGGGCTCCAACCATCCCCTCAGAAGGTGGTTAGGTTCATTAATCCCCACAGAAGGTGGTTAGCTCCCCTCAGAAGGTGGTTAGTTCCCCTCAGAAGGTGGTTGGTGATGATACAGGCAGACTAAAAACCTCCCGTCTCCACATTTCCAGGCCAGTCGTTCTGAATCATCGAATGGATGTGTGCCCCTCCAAACCTACATAACATTGTCTACAATCACCGTACCTGAGAAGGTACGACTGGATCCCTAGGGCCCATGCACAGCTTCTTTATTTAGACACCTCCGAGAAGTTACATGGATCTACACCTTTAGTGCCTTGCTGTAGCTTGACGAGGGGACACCTCATGCTGAGTTCCGGCACGAAAAACTCATTCGTTGGAGCCATTAAACCACCCAGATGCTCCGTTCACAGCACGAACTGAACCAGAATGCTCCACTCTGAGGGTTTTCCATCCCTCTTTCGCGGCATCCAATTCCGAGGTTTGTTTATCCCAATCGCGAGCCGGGACTCTCAGCCGACTTCTCACGGCTTCCGTGTCAAAGCAACGTTCGGAGGGAGGTTGGACCCCTCACCCGTGACGCCCCGACGAGGTCTCGAAATCCTCAGGAACAGTCCAGGTCGCCCACAGAGCCGCGACGTGTGAATATGGGAGGACCGGTGCTTGGCCGGACGTGTGATGGAGAGTGCCAACTGTGGGAGGAGGATGGTGCATGGACTTGCGTGAAAAACGCGAGGCGGTCCCCCAAAGGTGTCCCACTCTGAAGCATGTTTAATGTTTCATGACCAAACATGGTAGCTGGAGCAAGCTCAACAACTGTAAAGCCTGCTCAAAAATAAAACATGGCGAAGAGCAGCAACTACTGTAATTGACTATTTGGGTGCCTCAAAATCTGCTATAGATTGTTTGTGTGTGTGATTGTGTGTTTTTTTTGTGGTTTGTGGGGGGGTTGGCAATCTTCCCATCCATGACACACTGGATGAGACCATCGAACGAGGCTGAGCCAGCTGGCCACGAAGGTGGCTCAAGCGCTGCTGGAGGGCGCCACGTTCGGGGAGCCCATCTCTCCCGGTGAGCGAGTCCTGGTGGAGTGTGGTATAGTATAGTGTTTGTTTGTTTTTTTTTGTTTGGGTCGGGGGGAGGGGGTGTTGTTTGATGTTGTTTGATTTGTATCCGACTTGTGTTTTTATGTTTGGTGGGTGGATGTCGGTTGGTGAAGAAGAGATTTCACTGGCAAGCACCAACAGTGTTGGGGAACAGTCGCAGGTGGCCTGGTTGAAGTTGGCATCGAGCACCGCGAGTCATCCAAAACAACACAAGGTCGTGCAGGTTGTGCTTGCTTCCCTGCCGTCTTGTCGCAGGAATTCAAAAGCCAACATTTTGGGTGTAGTCACTCCATGGCTCCGCTAACAGAGTGAAAACAATCAATGCCAAGCTTTCTGAGATTGGCTCAAGGCCGCTGTTGATGCCTCTTGGACTTGACAAACAGGAGCTGTCCGTCAATGATGGTCAGAGCAACAAATACCATTAACATCCATTAACTCAACGGATAGATTCCCCAGAAAAAGCCACAGACTACAGTTCGCAAAAGGCTGGTGATTGGAAAAGGATGGAAACACATGTAGCAGCATACATGACATATGCATACAGATTCTACATGTTCTACGAAGCGTCATGAATCATCATATCAGGTGGAAGTGCATGAATGCCATAAGAATGAGATACTTAAAGACGATTTCAGGCTGAATTCCACGCGGAATGAAGTTTGTGCAAAAGGAACACCTGTGGTTTTGGAGCAGTTGGGAAAGGAAGGCTGGAGATGGGCGTGTAAATCGCCTGGTTGTTGGATTGGAACACTCCCCCAGCCACGCTGGCCGGGCTCCAAAGGGGCACATCCATGTGTGTTGGATAAGGACAACACCTCATGGTAAGGAGACAAACCAAGCACACTCGGCGCTTGGTGTTTTTCATCCAAGATCTATTCACCGGTTGGGGGATCCAAGCAGCCAACCTAGGTGAGGCATGTGAGGCAAGCAGCAGCCAATCGCAACTGTCATGTTTTGGCATGTCCCCATCCCACAGGAGACCTGAGCAAATCTCAACATTCTGGAGGTAGTTGGCTCCATTTCTTTCCGGAAAGGTAGAGATGGTCATCCATTGTCCACGTCAAGCTCTGGTTATTGATTAGATGAGCCATGGAAGCCCTCCGTATTCCGCATCCAAGCAGCCAGAAATTGCATGAAATTGCTGTTATCCAGTCTTATCCATTTAGTCGGGAACATATCCATTATCCATGTGGTTCTTCCAAACCCCTCCATGGGAACCGAGCGCGGAGTCTTACGCCATGCCGGGAAGCCATGTCACGATGGCAGCTCCAAGGAGCCGCTCCCGAAGTCCAAGGCGAGGCGAATCTAGCACAAAGAATCAGGTTTGCCCGTCTAATAGACATCTAAAATGCAACATTATTTATATCATTATAAATTATACTATAGTTAATTTATTGACCTGGGTTCAGGAGAGTTTGAAACCTGGTGCCGGCGTGTTTTGAAACCTTCAGTCAGGGCTGGATTGAAGGTGTTCCTTTGCTTCATTGGCTTGGAAAACGATTCTTGCCCTCAACCCTACGTCCTGGGTATGGAAGACTCTTGAAGGATGATGCTATTTAGCCTTAAGTCAGGGTTGTGGAGGCTGTTTTGACCAAAGGCAGGACAAGAAGTTGAGAAGGCTTTTGTCACAACATATGGGAATATATGGGGTCTCTCCGATGCTGTGTTCAATTCTGGGCACCCTGGGAGCCCAGGCCAGACAGCTGCTTCGAGATGAATGCGAGGCGAGCTTTTGCTACGGCGTTTGTGCATGCTTGGCTGCTAACACTTCAATCCAAAAGTGGGAGAGCCCCAAATTCCATTTCATCCAAGTGCCTACCCTGAATGAACCAACAAAAAGGAACACAATTTTAAAACCTCAAGAAGATGGCTGGCTTTACCAAGTTTCACTCACCATCTACCTGGTGGGTCGCCTTTCTCCAACCAGCTGTTTGACCCGCCCTTTCCACGTCAACCCCAAGCATCAGGTGGTGGAGTCAGCCTGGAAGCAAGAAGGAGGCCAATGCCTTGTCGGACTACGACCGGGACGCCCGCAGACTCAGAGACGGTTTCGGCAGTCCAGGACGAAGAAACGGGAGCTGTCGGGGTGTTCCATGGGAGGAGATCGGTATAAGATGGTATAAGTACAAGATGATCTTGGTGCCACAGATGGGTATGTGCAGATGTGGCAATGAAATAGAAGTCTTTCAGTAAGCCTTTCACGTGTGAACAGCATGTGGAGCAGGAGTTCCCTGAATCTCGTAGCTGTGCCCCGTAGCTATCCGAGCCATCCATCTACACCCGGCAAAAGACACATGGAACCTGAAGAGATGGAACTCTAAAAGACCATTTTCCTTTACAACCCAGTGCTTTTCAGGTTCCATGTGGATCTCTGGATTTCTGGGTGTATAATTACTTCCTTTTAGTATATGACTTCCATCCCACTCGCACTACAAATGAGAGGACTTTTGCAACCGGACCATGGGAGCTTCGGGATCGCTAGAAGACCAAGGACATCCTCAAGGAGAATCCCTTGGCGCAAGGACACCTGGTGGCACTGAACCAGCATGTCATCACCTGTGACGCTCGGATTCTTCGAAGTCTCCGATGTTCGGCCGAAGGCCGACCGGCGTGCTGTGTTCGGCGTGTGGAGACCGGTGGTCGACGTCATGCAGTTCTTTAAAAGAGACACATTGAAACATATATTATATATAAATTATGTACATGTATATATTGATATGCCCTTTGCAAAATTAAAAGTAATTATGTCAATATATGCCAATATCGAATATCCTACTACACTTGACATTCGACTGTCCAAAGCACCCCAGAAAACAATCCAATCCTGTGTCAGAAGCCAGCCTGACATGTAGCCAGACATTGGTTTGATGACGTCATATGTTTTCCTAAATTTAGCCAAGACACGTTTCCTATTTGTTTTGCTGTTTCAGTAGGTTTGTGACATGTTGCTGAACTTGACTTATGTTCGAGACATGTATTGAGCATCATTTGTGAACATTGTCACTGACAGACAACTATATCTTGGGTCTGTCAGGTCTGTCCTATTACCTGTAACCGTCAGTAAACAAGAACATCACTATTTTTGAACAAGGCCTGCAACTGAACCATCATCATCCACTGGGCCCAGGTATTAGGATAGACCCCATATATACATATATATAATATATATATATATATGAATGGAAGGTAAAAGGAGTTAGGTCCATGCAAGAGGAGTTAGGTCCGCTCCTAGCCTAAGGTACAGTGACTTAGTAGATCCTCTTCTTATATACACTTGATTGCCACCATCCTTTCCATTGTCATGAACGGAAGAGTGGCAAATGAATGGTGTTGGTGTTGCATAACTCCAGTTGAAATATGTTGAGATGGGTAGATGGAAGACAGTTGGAAGAGGCAAAACAACTTCTGAACAAAAACAAACTATCAACATATGATTTTCTGAAAATAACCAACCAACCAGAGATTAAGAGGCCTGGCTTGAAGTTACACCTGCTGGTTATCGTATCCTGAGTGGAGGTAACAGCACTTTTGTCGGAGAGAGATGTGTATGTGTATATATCCGGTGTTTATGACTGCAGAGAGAGAGAGAGAGATACAGAGAGAGAGAGAGAGAGTTCCAGGTTGATTGGTCGGAATAGGAGGTCATGATCATCAGACTGTCACTTCATTCTCCTTTTTCTCACCGATCCCGAACTGCGCGTTCATCTTCCCAGGACAGTCAGGATTCCAAGACCCAGGATCCAATGGCTCTCTCCGATGAGTGGCCTCTGGGGCTTCGGACCGGACGTGGAGGGTCCGGGTCGAAGGGTGACCGGTAGCCGCCGGAGAAAGCATGGATCTCGATCAATCTATGTTTTTCGAACTTTCGGAAGGGTTCTGAGAGGTGGAGGTGATTGAAGAGATGGAATCCATGAATACCCGCTACCGCCGCTACCACGGATTTGTCTTGTGGACGTGTCCTGTTCTTCGCTGAGGTATGTGCAAACTGCCCAAAGGCGGCCCAACTTCCAGAAGGCCTTTCCGATGGAAAACGGCTGAAACCTCCTTCCGCCGTGGCACCGTGGTTTCATCCGCCGTGGCGCGGTTTGTGTGACCGGTTTCGGTGACACGGCGTGATCGAACTACGTAAGCATCACTGGACCGAACTGAACCGTTCGATCGACTGATTTGGACCGAACTGAACGGGGTGGAGAGGAAGACTGGTCCTGATTTCTGCTAATGAAGAGTGGTCCTTGATCTTCTTTTTTCCGATGCGCCATAGTTCATCTCTCTCCCTCTCCTTAGTTCTCACTTCACCTCTGTCTTGCGCCACGAAAGGAGCTGAAGAGACACCAGAAGCGAGGGTCTAAAGTTCTGTTGCTCCAGCGAGCCTATGTGGAGCTCCTTGACTCGCGATCGACCAGCTGGTTATGAATTGTGCAATCATAAGGCACGGAACCTGAATCAATCATTCATCTAGCCATGAAGAGTATTTCAAAAGTGGATAGGCTCCTGCAAACCCTTTGGGGCAACTCCACTCGACAAGAACAGGTGGACCGTGTTCGCTTCGCTGAAAACCATTTGCGAGTCGAGCCTGACCACGGTGGCCAAAAGGGTCGATTTGGGGGTGTATTTTCCCTGGGGCTCCTGGCCCACCTCCGTTTCGAAGGTGGTTGGGGTAGGTGCCAGGGGGGTCTAACCACCGAACCTGAGGATATAGTTGGAGCCCTAGGGTTCAAAAACAATTCGGTAAGTTAAATCCCCTGGCCCTGGCTGGGTAGACTGGTTTGTTTCCCGAACCTTCCAGGCAATCGCATGGGTTACGTCTCCCAATTCTTTACACACCCATTTGACACCAGCGTTGGGTTTGACCTCGGACTTGGTCTGTTTAGATCCCTCTACACAACAGATTGGTTGACCAAACCCAGAACATAACAGACAAAAAGGTTTGGACATTTGATTTCTACACCATGTCTCATGCGTTTGTTGCACCTGTTGCCCGCGGCGTTGGTGGGAACAGGTGTTTTTGTGTTTTTCTCCGGAGGGCTTGATCTCCAGACCGGCCCAGTTGGTGAATTGGTGCGAGCCCTGCCGTGACGAACACCTCACCGACCTAGGGCTTGATCTCGCGGGTTTTCGGTGCCAGCACACAGATGCACCCTGCAGAGGGAAGTGCTGTGCTTTCTTCTACCTTAGAACCCCGTGGCCAGCTTGGCTAAGCTGTTTCTTCCTTTTTTGTTGGAGGGGTCTTCCAGATTCCTTTGATTCAGTTGTTTGAGCTGTTGATCGCCGATGTGGTAGTTATTACAATAGTTTAAGGATGTTTAAGGGGTCCACGTCATTGGATTCTTGGATTCTGCGATCAAGAACTTCCATTGGTTGGACGCCCCTGGCCCTGAGGATGTTGTGCAGAAGTGTGGAGCAAGCTAAACTGATCATCGAAAGCGTTGACGAGTTGTGCTTCTTCCTTCTCACCAAGTGACCAGACAAGCACTGGTGATGTGCTGATCAGCCGACTTCGGGCATGAAACTCTGTGGTGCACAGTGGCAAGGAAACTCTGTGGTCTCATAACATACCTTGCCTGTCCTTGCCTTCCTTCCAGGAACATCACATGTGCAGACACAAATTTGGTAGTGCCCTATCTCGGATATTGAGGGTGTGAAGGTCCATCCACGTGTTCTTTGCAGATTGAGTGAAACCTCCTGTTTGCTTCGGTGCACCAGTGCAATTTCTCATCAGTGCTGCTCACGATGACTCTGTGTTTTCGCGGGGTATTGAGGAAACCAACCAGTGCTGAACAAAGACAAAGGGACGTGAAGTTTAAGTTGCCACAAGTGACCGGTTGATTTGAAGATATTTACGTAGCTTCCCAAAAATATGACGAGTTGGACATGAAGCCCTATAGGCCCTATCAAACCACCATGTGGAAGTTTGCATTAAAGTAGCGAGACCTCCCAGGTCGACCCTTTGGAAGGTTCGGGAAATAGACCAGTCTACCCAGCCAGGACGATCGGGGGTTTTGCCTACTACATCAAAACTCCATGTGTGCCAAGCAAGTTCGCAAGTCTTGACGCTATGAGGTGGAGGCCATCGCAAGTAGGTTGGAGGCCATCGCTACTGGTAACAAGAAGCTACTCGTAACAAAAGTCTCCAGCCATTTGACGGGTGCATTCCCTTGAGGCGAGATGCCAGCCAGGAGTCGCCGACTTGGTGTTGCGGACCCGAAGGTGGAAGACAACACCACCGGGGCACCCCCCAGTTCAAGGGCGGGCGCGAGGGGAGACCAATCCCCAATGATAGACTCACAACAAGAGCTGCTATTGAAATTGTATGAAATTGTTACTTCTCAACATGCCTGGGGCGTGGCTGCTTGTCGCACAGCGTGCCTGGCGTCTCTTCAGCTCAAACCTCGTGCCTGGCATACATGGCTCATGGACAGTTCAGCAACCTCACACCTGTTGGAGTAGCAATGAGTGGCATGAAAGGGCCCTGAAAGGGTGAGAGGGTCCTTCTGGAAGTGACTGAATGGAAACAACATGAAACAACCATGGAGATGCAATATAGCTTGTGCACCATTAAAGGCAAATACAACTGAACAGCTGTTTGCTCAGACCGCAGATTAAGGAGCAGACACGAAGATCCACTGTCAAGAGTGCCCCTTTGCTTTGCTAGATGCGACTATGCAACATAAGCTTTGCTGCAATTAGCCTGTCCATTAACATGTATTTATTAATAATATTATATATATATATATATCATCGCTGATGGCGCTCCGCGCGGGACATGTGCCCTGCTGGCTCCTCTCATTGGTGATCGTACTGCGATTGTGCAACCTGTCCTGATGCAGAGTCCGACCAAGCCTCCACTCCCTGGTTGGAGTGAACAGGCCTTGGATTCAACAGATCTAAGGATGTTTTTGTCCTTAAAAGCTTTTGTTTCCTTATTCATGATTGTTTTTCTCCATCTCCTTGGATTCAAGAGATCTTTGTTTCACATCCCGGCCCCACAAAATCTGCGTGGCTCAGGTTGGCCTGAAACCTTCACGCATGTGGCTCCCGCGCCGCGCAGGGCCGCTGCCAGGGGCCGTTTGCCGCGAGGCGTGGCCTCGTCAGATCCATCCGGAATGAAGCTCGGAGCAGGGAGGGCAGCTGGAAGGCTAAGGGAAGGGGAGGGGCAGCTGGAAGGATTCTGAATTTATATGAATTTATGCTTTCGGAGTTTATAGGAACATCTATCAGGAAGACACCTGATTGCTATCCCATTTGTTGTTTAATGTTGTTTAAACTTAAATAAGTTCCAGTAATTTCAATTCCTTTTCTTGGTTTAAACCTGCCACAGTATCGTTAATTAAGTTAAAAGTTATTCAGTGTTGTTTGACTTGGTTCTAGTGACTTCATCCGGCTAAGGGAGCCCAAATGACTTGAACAGTTAACAGAGCACCAAACCAGTCTACCAACCCCCGTTGGAGATTAATTGTGTGCATCCAGGATTACAATGGATTATACAGCATACTCGTACATATAATATAATATATATTTTCGTATGAATCATAATCCAATTTGATGTGTTTTTGTTCATGATCTTTATTTTCATCTTCCCATCTTCTAACCCCCTAACGCACATCTCACCTTGAATCAACTCCCCCACGTCCGACACACGTGGGGTGTGTCTCCCTTTCTCTTCACCACCTGACACACCACCGAACCGGCGCCGCCGGCCGGTTCGCTCGGACCTCAGGCGCCGCGACGACCTGAAGTCCTCGATCTTCGCCGCCCTGGACCGCGACGGCAACCGACGCCTCAGCCGCGCCGAGATGCGGCGCTTCGCGGAGCTCTCGGGCTTCGAGGGCAGCGAGGCGGACGCTCGGCCAAACCCGCGCGGAGGGCGGATGCGGAGCGGGGGAAGAGAGAGAGAGAGAGAGAGAGAAGAGGTCGCTGGATTTGCAAGGTGAAGGCGTTTTCGCGTTTTTGATGGTTGGTTTTTGGGGGATGTGTTTGGTTTTCCACGCGAAATCGTGGAATTGATTCGCCCCACCATGCCATGCAGAAGAGCGTAGCTTGAGGGAAGGGGATTTGAGTGAAGGGAAGGAAGCCTGGCTTCCACACCAAAAATGTCCCTTTCCACTGTGCTCCGTGCATGTGGTGTGCTCCTTTGGGGAAAACGTGTTCCATATTTTTGTTGCCTCATGTTGGAATCCATATTTACCCAGCGAGTGTGCTATGCTCAAATCCTAGGTTGGGAGTCGCCACAAAAAATAAACGGTTCACTGGTCCAAGTGACGTAGGTTATGGGTGTGAGCTGCTTTATCAATTTCAACTTTGAAGGAACTATGCAATGCAAGGACCACCTGTTATACATATACAGCAATATATATATATACACGATGTGTTTTTATGTATTGATCCTTATTTATACAGAGTTATATAGCAATAGCACATGGTTTTCAATATGTTTTCCTGAAGACTTTAAAGTCTGTAACGTTCCTCACTACCATATGATTTGACTAACAGATCGTGTTTTTGGGGAATTGTGGCTGAGCCCTGTGCGTGAAATATGTTTCAGCTGCGAGTTCTCTTGCTGAGGAGTGGCAAGAGGAGTTCCAAATGCTGTGTGACCCACAGGGGTGTGATCTTGATGCCTTTGGCCAACTGTTGGACGACGAGTCGGAGGAGTTCTGTTAAGTGAAGCCATGTAAGTAAGGATGTCATTGTTTGTTGTGCGCATGTCTTTCTACGGAAAGACGAGGCCTTCAAACAATTCTGACGGTTGTTGAGAACAGAGCAGCATCCTTTGGCAAAATAGATGCTTAACCTTCCGGGCTGTGTTTTGTTTGGTTATCCTTCGTGCTGTTTGTCAATACCATGTCATCACAAAAAGAAAAGCTCAAAACCGCTGCGGCTACAGAGTAATTACGAGTGCGAGTAGAGTGCGCCGTATGTGTGCTCGGCGTGGCGATGGAGGATGGGCTCTATTGTTCAGACACTGAACTCGCTGAGATGTTCCAAGACTTACTCCGGCTGGGCCTGGGCGTCCCCGCGGCGGCGGCTTCAGCTTCGGCGCCGCCCAAGAGTCGTAGCTTAGGCCGGCGGGGGGACTTCAATTTTGAGGCAGGACATCGCTGAGAGCTATATTTATAATATCACACTTGGAGCGGCACAACAATGTATGTACAAAAGTCGCTCAAACGGACCACTATTCATAGTACATACAACCACTGACATGCCACTTGCACTGGGTTGGGAGCCATGGAGAGCCATTTCCAGGTGCAGCTATGCCAGTGAGTTTGGAATACTTTATGCGCGAGAGAGAAGCTGGACTTTACGATGGTGAGTGGACACTTGGAGACAACTTTGGCCATAGCTTGGAAACAGTCTTGGGCTATAGAGGGTTCAGAGGTTCGATGGCACCGGCACCCCGACATGTCCATTTACAGATTGGGGTTTCCTTATAAACCACCTTATTGGATCCTTTTCAGGGGGACATACTTGTGCCATCTGACACTGTAGCTCAGATGCTTCAAACCACCGCTTCGGCGTGCCAGTCGCCCAGGCCGAAGGCCCTGCCCATGCGTCCCACCGGTGTCGTTGGTCGCCTCGCCGCCGAGGAAGGCTTGGGATCCACGCGAGGGCACCAAAGCAAGAGCTCCCCGCATCGGTCGGGTGGAGAAGTTGGAGGGATGTCCCAGCAGTGCCACCGTCCAGGAGGCGGGATGGAATAGAACTGGAGAAGGGGAGGGAAGGGAAATGGGGTGATGGTGGGGGGCATTTTTTTGGTTGGAGTAAAGGTAAACACTTGGAGTCACTGTTTCAATTGGAAGTGATATTTGTTGAAAACAACAGAAAGATTTGTTCTATGCCTATGCATGTCATATGCTTGTAACAAGTTATAGGCTTAGGAGCCCTTTTGAATCATCCACTTCCGTTTTCGTGGTGGTATGTACCTCCACAGTCGGCAGAGTCGACTTGGTCTCGGGGTTTTTGCCGACGCTGTTTGTCTCAGCGCCCAAAAGCGGTCTCAGATCGGAGCATTCCGTTCATGACCCACACATTCTAGTGGTCCCCAAATATGATAGAAACGCGGTCTTTTTCCCAGACATTCTGAAAGTGAGGATCTACTACTGTTGTATCTATTTGGGGGTCTATGTAAGAGTCACTCTTTTAATTTAGACATCAAGGTGCTGTGTCGAACTTGCCCCAAGGATACTGGCAAACTGAACACGGCTTTCCCAAACTGATCTTGAGAACATAGATGTGCTTGCTGAACGCGCCTCTATGTTCTTTTTTGCCCACTCCAGTCACTCACTCCCATCTCGTTAGAAACAGGGCCTGTGCCCGACAAGGCACCAATTGATCTCAAGCTCCGCTCGGACATGCTCGGACCGATTCGTCCGGGCCGTTGGACTCAGTTCACCGTTGGAAGCGTCACCGCGCGTCGCGTCGCGTCGCATCGCGGTCGCGGAGGCCATCATGTTCGTGAATGAGCAGGTGCAGAATGGGATCTTCGGAGACCAATCAGGAGAGGAATTCATAAGGGATCTATACCAAGGGAGATGGTCATGGGTATACATGCGCTATACCAATGGGATTTAATACATATATATATATATAGAATTATATAGCGAATGTATATGATATATATATATATTACAATGTATACCTAAAGTATGCACCTGGGTCCCCAAATGTACACCTCTTTTGTCCATATGCATACGTCCCAAAAAAGGTGGGCATATGGCCAAAGGGGTGGTTCACCTTATAGGTCAATGACTCGCTGCAGTCGTGGTCAGGACCCCAAATGCTCCCCTTCAGGTGGCGCCCAAATACTGCCGGTCTATTGGAAAAAGATATGTTTCCAATGACGTTTCCTGTTTGACATATCAATCAGCGGCACTTGTTTGACGGACACGACACGTTTTTGGTACATGGCCATGGCCATATGATGGCCTGGCCGAATCCTGGTGCCGAATCCGGGCCGATGGCAGCTCAAAAGTGAACCCCATGACAGTAACATGAATCGGATGGCAGCTCAACACGGCCATTTTGGTTGGAATATGGCCGGAAAGAGTGATCATACGCAATTCTGCCCAGAGCCTAGGAAGTGGACACAAGAAAAGTGTCCATACGGGGTTGCAGGTGTATATATTTCTCAGACAGGTTGTTAGGATGATTTTCTTCCTGCCCATAGTTGTTTGTTTCA